GTTCCATTTCCTTCCATTCCGTCCCTTCTCCCCTTACTTTGCATCCGCACTCTCCCACTTCGACGCCGTCGCTATACCTCTCTGGCCGGCACACATGCATTACCGGAGCTCCGCAACCAGCATCGACGCGCCCGCTCGCCTTTACCTGCAAGAGGATGACGGGGTGTTTTTTTTCTGATCGAAAGGCTCCACGCAAGCGCACCGACGATATTTTTCTTGTAGATATTTTCTTCTGTATATGTGGTCAAAGTCATCAAACTTAGAAAGGGTTGATTTTTTGACTCATTTTATGCGGCATCTAATTGGGATAGAGGGAGTATTTATTTATAGCGCTGCAGCATTTTTCCACAATTTTCTTATATATAATCGGATATAATCAGTCGGCGTAAGGAAAGTCAATGTAGGCCTTGCCTGCCCTAGGCTGGTCACAATCCGGCCGTCTCTTTCAAGATCTTCTCGGTTGGTGTACATGAGATGAGACGAGCGCCACAGTGGACAGTGCATCCTGACTTTTGACGACTACAACTGTGGCCGCACAGGATCAGTGAACAAGAGCCGGACCTGTGCTTGCATAAGGAAATCTCCTCTCTCTTGCTCAATTTACCTCTCTAGCATCCAAAGTTTTAAATAGCGCGCTAAGCATCTTAGCGCCGGACCTCTTTCAAATGCTATAGCGTGCTATAGCGGAGCTATAGCGTGCTATTTAAAATGTTTATTCATTTGTTTGGACTAAAATCTCTTAGCGCAAGACCTTTTGTAAACGCTATAGCGTGCTATAGCGAAGCTATAGCGGGCTATTTGAAACAGTGCTAGCATCCTGTCCACGACAAGCATTGATGGACTACGGCGGAGCTGTCCTCGTCTAGTTGCTACTACCTCTGTTCTATAATGTGCGTATTTTTCTTTTGAAAAGTTAAACTTTATAAATTTTGACCGACTTTATGGAAAAAACTATCTATATCTACAATATCAAACATATAAAATATAAAAATACATCTTATGATTGATGATATAGGTTTGGCATTCTAGATGTTTTTCTATACAAATTTGATAAAAAACCGTAAGGTTTGACTTTAAAAAAATTTATATGCACTACATTATGAAATAGAGGGAGTACTAGATGAGCTTGAGCCCATGCCACCCACGAGTATACAGTTGCATTGCCCTAGGTTCCAGGGAGAAACATCCACGAGCATTGATGGACTAGGGCCGAACTGTCCACAACAAGAGTTGAGAAGGAGGACTAGCCAGCATGAGTCCATCTCATCCACAGGTTTCAGTCGGCAGACAACTACAAAAACCAAGATTGAATTGTGGCCACGGTCTAAACATTCTTATAGTTCTTTACGAAAAGAGTAGTAATGAAGCAGCTGCAGCAAGCATGCTTACTGCGCGCGCGCGCAGACGCTATAAGATAGATGCACCGCCCAAGCAGTTTTGCCAACAACACTTGGGAATCACTTTGCATTCCAGAAAAGGCTTCCGGCCTAGTAGTTGCGTTTGCGGATACGTAGCATACCACAGCTGAGTCCATGGCGAGATGCTGCCTGCTGCTCCTCTTCTGGGCGTTCCTCTGGCCGGCGGCCAGCGCGGTGCCGTGTCACCCCGACGACCTTCGCTCGCTGCGGGGTTTCGCCGGAGACCTCAGCGGCGGGGCCGTCCTGCTCCGCACCGCATGGTCCGGCGCCTCGTGCTGCAGCTGGGAAGGTGTGGGCTGCGATGGCACCAGCGCTCGCGTCACGGTGCTGCGGCTCCCCTCGCGCGGCCTCACGGGGCCCATCCCAGGAGCCTCTCTAGCCGGCCTCGTGTGGCTGGAGGAACTCTTCCTCGGCTCAAACTCTTTCATGGGCGTCCTCCCAGACGCGCTCTTCGGGCTCGCTAGGCTAAGGAAGCTTTCACTCGCATCCAACGAGCTCACCGGCCAGCTGAGCTCACGCTTCGGGGAGCTCACACACCTCACCTTGTTGGATTTGTCCACCAACCGCTTCTTCGGCCGCCTCCCGGACGTGTTCGACGATCTCACGTCGCTAGAGCATTTGGCCGCACACTCCAATGGCTTCTCCGGCTTCCTGCCGCCGTCTCTGTCATCACTATCATCTCTTCGTGGGCTCAACCTCCGGAACAACACCTTGTCCGGCCCGATTGCTCGTGTTAGCTTCTCCGGCATGCCACTTCTTGCTTCCGTTGACTTCTCCACAAACTACCTGACTGGGTGGCTCCCGGCCAGCCTTGCGGGCTGTGGCGAGCTCAAGTCGCTCAACCTTGCCAACAACACATTGGTTGGCACCATCCCGTCGTGGATTGGTGAGTTTGACCACCTTTGGTACTTGAATCTCTCAAATAATTCATTCGTTGGCGAGGTACCCAAAAGTTTGTTACGGCTCAAGGGCCTCGCCACCGCGGGTCGTTCATCGGGTATGGTTTTCACTAACATGCTATTGTATGTAAATGACAAAAGAAGAGCACTCAATGAACAACCAAATACCATAACTGGGAGCAACAACACTGTCAGATCTGGGCGCAACAACAGCATGTCTGGGAATGATAACACTGTCATATCCGGAGACAACAACGCTGTGTCTGGGAGCTTCAACACCCTTGTATGTGGGGACAACAATGTTCTAACTGGGGACCACCATGTCGTATCTGGGAGCAACCATATTGTAACTAACAGCTACAATAAAGTATCTGGGTGCACCAATAATGTATCCGGGAGCCACCATACCGTATCCGGTAGCAACAATGCCGTATCTGGAAGCAACAATACGGTATCTGGGAGCAACCATGTCGTATCCGGGAGCAACAAAATTGTAACCGACGGTTAATGGTCTATAAGTGGATCGATTCCATCTACAAGTGCGAGATCCCAGAGCACAACAAAGAGAGTCGTGAACAGAAGACGTTCTTCACTCAGAACTGAAAACCTGGGTACATGGACCCCATTCCAATATCTTGTTCCAAGTTTGGGAGGGCACCATAAAGATCTTTTGTATCTTTACTGTTTTTAGCATATTTAAATTTCCGCAATTATATATATCCGTATGTAGTACGTATTGAATTTTCTAAAAGGGCTTATATTTAGAAACAGATGGAGTAGTATGTATTTCCGTACTTGCAATACTAATGTTAACTTCCAGCCTATCATGAGAATTATATCCAGCGATGCACTCATCGCCTATTGATGAATGTCTTTGTTACAGCTTGTGGTTATTGTTATTAGATATGTGAATCCTGTTGAATGATCCTTACTTGATAGTTTCGAATTGGCCATGGCTATTCGGCGCCATTAGTGCTAACTGTCAACAACAACTTATTCTTTGCGGATAGATACAAATTGTGAGGTGGGGAAGTGGGTACGGACTGACGTTGGGTATGATAAGCTGTTGTTGCTAGGTTACGACGAGGCTGTGGCAGTGCATGGTTCATATACAGATGGTTGGACGTTCGCATGTACTCCTTCTGTTCCAGATTACTCATCACAGAAATGGATATATTTAGAACTAAAATACATTAGATACATCTATACTTGCGACAAGTAATTCAGAACGGAGGGAGTACCCACTTGCACTTGCATGAGCTGCACTCGACCTGACTTTGACCGGCTTTGGAGGTCTCTCTCTCTCGACCTGACTTTGACTGGCTTTGGAGTTCTCTCTCTCTCTCTCTCTCTCTCTCTCATGTAGTCACTAGATAGGGAGCGCGCCTTGGCGCGAGGGTGCCGGTCCCAACATTTTGGTCAAGCAGTTGGAAGCGATGCCATCCAAACATAGATAGTGGTAGTGCCTTTGTCTTTGTTATTAATCAAAGAACATGTACTGTGCTTTTAGATGACCATCAATGAAAACTCCTACTTCCTCTTTCCATGTTCCAAGGAGAAGCTAATGCAGCTTGTAGTGACGGATACTTGAAAGCAAAGGATATGTAGCATCCCCGGGCTTCATTTTCCTAAGGATACTGTGAAACCTCTAAAAAATCATTACAATGGGCTAATAAACCTAGGAAAGCTATACAACAGAAATGATGAAGTGGTGTGTTCTTAATGAAAATAGGAACATATTTTTAGAGAACAAATATATATCAATCTATTTAATACATGTAATAGCAACTCCTTGTGTACACAATGAGGGCGATTAAGGAATGCATTCCAGTCACTTTCAATATAAGGAAACGGAAAGTAGCAGTTCTGATAATTGACAGCAACAGGTAACCATAAGTTAGCTCATCACAAATCTATACCAATATAAAAAGGCCCAGAGAGGCAGATCCAATAAATCTGGACCATCCATTTGTGTTAATCCAACAGTCATTATTGTTCTAATGGTGAGTACTAAACATATTTAGCGTTAAACGTCTTTCTCCTGATCCCCTTCCTTTCCTACGAAAGAAAAGGGGAACTGCCGCACGCACGACGCTGCCTCTCTCCGCCCCAACCGCCTCCGCCCGTCGCACCTTCCCGCTGTCGCCCCCATCACACCTTCAAGAACGCCCCCACCCATCGCCTCCTCCTGCACAGCTTGGCCGCCCGGCGGGATGCCGCCTCCTAATAGACCTACTGGCCGGCCATCGGGGACGCCCACCCATCACCTCGCCTCGGACGCCGGCCGTCGGGGATGGCGCCTCCTGCATCGCCTGGCCGGCCGGCGGGACGCCGCCTCCTACTACATCTTCTGGCCGGCCGTCGGGGACGTGGCCCCTACTACATCGCCCGGCCGACCGTCGGGGAGGCCGCCTCCTCCAACGCTGCCTCCCCACCATCCAACGATGCCGCCGCCCTTCACCGCGTCGGCCGCTGCCCTCACTCCGACGCTGCGAGCTGCGGCGCCACCGCCCTTCACCGCGTCGGCCGCTGCCCTCACTCCGACGTTGCAAGCCGCCTAACCGGCCTGATCCACTCGATCTGGATTGCCAACCCTCCAGACTTTCTTTGATATGTACATCTCCAATCAAATCTGATCTCAAAGTTCATTTTTTGTTTGTAATCTGGAATCTGGACGAAATTTGACAATTGTACTAAACTTGTTGCAGGGTTGGGAAGAATGCAGACGGTTGAATCACCGAAGAGGAGCTCAAAGAGTTGACAAATGAGCTCGAAGAATGCTGTCACGAGTAATGACAGTTGAAGCTACGTAGTGTGTTGTTTGTTCACAACCGGTCATATCAATGCTTATGACTTTCTCTTGCGTTGTCAGGTCCTCACTCGGCACGGCCTCTACAAACAACTCACCAAGATCCTTGAGTGCGTCGAGGAGTACACGGTGTTGATCATGGAGGAGCTCGACCCCAACCAGAACGGCTACATCGAGGTCCGTCCTTTTTCACCCTTCATCTCTTTCCGTGGAATACTTTGCTTTATGCACAACTGCTCTATAAGCTTACTTGAGTAGTATATTTATTTGATTGACTGGATGTGATCTGGAGGTGTGCTCAGGTTTTATTATAGCATGTTTAGATTTGATCTGAATCGTATCCTATGTAGCACTAGCCTAATTAGTTCTCCATGGAAGGGGACGGTGGCTGTGGAATTAGTGGCATCTCCTGGATGATGCGCTATGAAACGACTACATTACACAGTGATATGGAACTTTTGGTAGTAGCTAGGTAGTTGAGCTGATTTGAATAGATTGCGCTTTGATTTTTGGAATTTTCTTTTACCGGCTTGAGGACAAGGTATTTGCCCCCTCCCTTGGTTAGTACAATTTTAACCCATTTGTAGGAACCAGCTGGTGGTGTTAGACACACAAATACTTTTGGGAGGAGGCGTTTTGGCTCTCGGGTGCACATGCACCCACATGAACAATAAAATCAAAAAATAGTTTCCCTAAAAAAATCAAAAAATAGTAATTTAAAAAAAATCTGGAATTTTTTATAAATGTTCGTGTTAGTGTCGCAAACATGCTTGATAATTTTCATGCAAAACGGAGCAACATCGTTTCGTCGGTGAAAAAAAAAACAAATTTTGGTGTGACATTTTGGTGTAACAATTGATGTTCAATTTGTTTTTTTTTGCACAGGCCAAAATGCTTTACCTTTCTGCCTATATTTTCAGGCAGATTTGGATTTTGTAAAGAACACATACAAATTTTGTTGAGATTTTTTTGACATTTCAAAATTCATTTTCCACAGGTAGGAGCATGTGCTCCCGGGAGCCGAATTGTATTTCCGATACTTTTGGTGCTACTTTTCTACAGAAAATTCATGTATCTACTACCCCTATAAAAGGAAAAGAGGACGGAGAACCAAACAATTAGATTCATCCATTAGCGAGATTTAATAGCCCTTAATCCTCCAATGTTTATCGCTACAAACCACGCATTAAGCCACCGCTAATCCATCCATCGCTAAGCCCGCCGTTCCAAAAAAAAAAAACTGCCACAACCCACGCACACACGCACGCCCCCTCCTGCTCCTCCTCCTCACATCGCGTCGCACCGCACGTCGCCTCCTACTCCTCCCCCGCCTCACCCCGTCGCCCCGCCGCCGCTCCGTCCTCCCGCAGCCCGGGTCGCTCTCATCCCTCAAGCAGCGTTGACGGCGGGACGCAGCGGGCTGGGCCTGCATCGGCGGTGCTGGTGTCCATCTCATTCGTCGAGCGGCGGCGGCGCAGCGGGACGCAGTGGCCTGACCTGGATCGGCGGCAGCGCGGGACCTAGCGGGCTCGGCCTGCGTTGGCGGCGGCGGGGTCCATCTCCTCCGTCGAGCAGCGGCGGCAGCGCGGCCTGCATCGGCGGCAACAGCGGCAAGGTCCATCTCCTCCCTTAAGCTATGGCGGCTTGAGACACAGCGGGCTCGGCCGCGAAGGTGGGTTTCTCCAACGGGGCATTCGATTCCTGGCCTCTGTTCGTCGACCTCGCTCTACAGTGAGACGCATTGCGTAGCCTCTGCCCTCTAGCACCATGGCAGCATGCTGTGTGAACGCCCCCAGGGAGGCACACTGGTAGGGGCTGCACCATGTAGCGTGTGGATGCCCACCAAATGTTCGATGAGTTCCCCTAATTGATCTCTCTATATAGCTAGCCCTCTCTATTTCAGTCTCTCACTGCTCTCCATGCCTTGTGTCATCCATATATGATCTTATTTTTTTTCAGTTTTTTGCTAGATTCAACACTGACATTTGTTTAAATCATATCCATGTGGAACCATTAAAATGGAGCACATAAAGCTGCAGAGGCAACAACTTCAAAGGAATCAGCACGGTGATGTGTTTCTATATGTTCAGTGTGATTAGAAAGTAGAAACCAACATGCTGACTGCTAAACCATATGCACAGGATCATAGAAAATTATTATCCTATATGCACAGGATCGTATAAAATTATTATTAATGTCTACATTGAAAAGGATCCAAACTCTAAACAAGTGATTGGTGAACATTTTTTATCTAGGTTCAGAAGTTGATAAGCCATTACAGTTCTTTCATTGTGCAGGCAACCTCAGGTACGATGAGACGGCTTTCTTTTGCTTCTATCGTCACATTGCTGAATACGATTTTGAATCTCAACTGCACTTGACTGCACCTTCTATCTCGATCTGCTTGACAACTTATAATTTGCACAAGCATTCCCCTGCATAGTTTGTCCTTGATCTGAAAGAACAATTCCTGATGATATATTCCAAATCAGGTCATTGCCTGGATCCTATGAACAATATGTACAGTCACACTTTCGTTATCCATTTACCATCAAGTAAGTTTTCACTATGTTTTGTTTCAGTTCCGTTTCAGAATTCCTAAACCATATAGATTGCAGAGCTAAGCTAGATGATGGACATCTTCACTAATAAGCAGGTCTGCTTACCACATTCCTCTTGTTTTCTACAGTTGACGACTT